ATGCAAAACAACAGAACGTGGAACTTATTTAACCAAACATAATTCTCATTCATCAAGGAATAACAAGTGTAATATCCACTAAAACAAAGCTTAAGTATATAACACCAACAGAAAGACACAAGAAGAAATGCTCTCCCTTCTCTCTAGGTTTCTCTCTCTACATTTTCCCACCCCTTCCATCACCCACCGCAACCCATCCCCCTCAGCCACCCCCCCAGCCTAGCTCCACCTACCGCCACCGCCGGCGACCTACCCTGGCCGCCTGGCACCCTCCCCCCTCCCCCTATTTTTTATTTCTTACCCTCAAACCCCCTACCCGTTTTTCTTTTTCAGTTCAGTTTTTAGCCCCTTCTTTCATTTTTTTTAGATTTCAGTCATTATCCAGCCAGTCATGTCGTCGCCGACTCTATCCTCGGATATCAAACAAGCTGCAGTCTTCGAGTTAGAGAAGTTCATCTCTCAACCGGAGATTCGAGAGGTCCTCTCGGCATTTCTCAACAAATCCAAGAACAAAAAGGACGGAGATAACAAAAGAAATGTTGAGGAAGGTGAAATCATTGAAGGAATCATAGAAATTTGGCTCGAATCCTCGATGTCGGATTCCATGGTGAAATCGAAGATCCTCTGTTTGGAAGGAACGGGGCCGTCGGAGGATAAAAGTGGTAAAAAAATAGATAAGCGGGCCCTCGTGACCAGAGAAGATGACACCCGCTGCCGTGTTGAATGGACAACCTCCTCTCCCCCCGCTTCAGCCTTTGAACTACAGCCACATGGTAGGGTTTGGCTCCTACAATCCTGAGCCTAATTTTGTCCCATTTAGTGGGCCAAAAATTTTGTCCCAACAGACCACTTCCCAAACAAACCAACCCCAATTGATCCCTTATCTTGGGCCTTCTCTCACCATTCAAAATTCCCAGCCCAAACTCTAGAATTCACAACCCCAGCCCGCTACCTTTTCTCCCTCCCAGAACTGCCGTCCAATAACCCATCTACCATCACTCTTCTCTCCCCAGACCACTACAACTCAGCCCATTTCATCTACACAAATAATCCAGTCCACCCAACCGACAGGTGCCGCCCAGCCCCTTGCCGGCGCCAGCGACAGCCCACTCACCCGAATCTCTAAAATGGCTGGAACTCTACTCGGGGGCATCCGGGAGATATTTTCTTTGACTGCAACTTTTGGACCCCAACCATTTTCTACGTCGCCGATCGATCAACCGGCCGAAATAATCAAACCCGCTGCCGGAGAACCCGTTTCGGACATTTTGTATGTACGTGAAGATGGTGTGATTGTTGCGGGTCCAAGCAAGTCACCCGCGGTCCATGTTTCCGGTCCCTCCCCAAATGGGACACCGCCGACGGGCAATTTAACGACCATCCCCGCCGCAACCGGAACCCTTCCGGCCACATCCAATAGGCCGCTCTCCTTCTGGGAGGCTATTACGGGAAGGAGAGATGGCGGTTTGGGAGTACCACGTCCGACAGCCAAGGAGTTCACCATTGATGGGGAATACGAGCATACTTGCGGCTCCATTATCCGCTGGGAGGGAAACAAGGTGAAGGTTCGATTCTCGCAGGCCAAAGCTGACACCCTTACCGGTAAGTTAGAAAACACCTTAGTTTTTAAGTTCTCTTATGCCATCCCTCCTCCCCCCGAGATATATCTGCTGGATTAGGTAATTGGGGTTTAAGGGTAGATTTTCATATAAGTGGTATAATTTTAATCATCTCCTAGTCTCCTTCCACCTCCCTGAGGATTATAATGAGGCCTGGCTTAAGACCTCTATTTCTGTGTGCGGATGCCCTGCTAGGGTGTTTAAGTATACTTCCGGGTTCAACCCGAAGATGGAGACGCCAGTCGTCCCCGTGTGGTGCCGCCTCCCCGGCCTTCCACTACACCTTTATGACCGGGATTCCATAACCACACTTGCAAAGTGTGTCGGAAAACTGGTCTGCATTGATCGCCCGACAGCCCTCCAGTCGAGGGCTAATGTGGCACGATTGTGTGTTGAGATCGATCTCAGGGTTGAGCCCGTCCATGAGATTGAGATTGAGCATGGTTCGGAGACTTTTGCTCAGCGGGTGATCTATGAGAAGATCCCCGCATTCTGTTCATCGTGCTGTCATGTGGGACATATCGCGGCTGATTGCTACATCAGTGGCAATAAGCTACGACCCACTCCGTCTCACCGCTACCGTGCGCCTCAGTCGGGACCCTCCAACGGCCGGAGGGACCCGAAGGGAAAGGGCAAAGGCCCTCTCCATGCGCCCGAGTCCCCAAAGGGGGCCAAGGATAAGGGCAAGGCTGTGATGGTCACCACTGCCCAAACTAGGAAGGATGTCCATCCTAACCATCCTAAGCATTTGGCTACAGTAGGGCCCAAGGCCAAGGCCACTGGATTTCTTCCCAGAGAGACCTTACAGTCGGCCTTCAAGGCCAAACACTCGTTCTTCGCAGTCCTCTCCCCTGAGGTAGAGGACGATGCTCAGCCTTCCACTAGCGATCCCCATAGGCTCTCGGATCTTGCGCTTTTAGACGATGATGACCTTATTTTTGATGATCTGGAGCAGCCGGACACCTCGACCAGTGGCACGTCCATCCATCTATCTGATGACAACACTCATGATGTTGTTCCTTTGTCGGTTCATTCATCTAGCCAGAACTGCCCCCTGGAGATGAGGACTGCTCCCGTCACCGTTCTCCCGAAAGGGGATGAGCTGGCACATCCCCCGTCTGCTGAGATTGAGAGCTCGGCTGAGCATATAGCTATTCACCAGCCTCACTCAGTCGGTGAGCAACCGAGTGCTCCCACCGAATGGAGCCTCTCTCCCTCCTATCCCGGAGCAGACATGCGATCTTAACCGCGCTCATCATGACGTCTCGTTCGAGAGTTTTGCCTCTAGCGCTTTCGTCCATTTTGACAGACAAGAGACTGCCCCGGAGATGGGCCAGGTCCCTAGTGCCGCTTTGGGGCCAATTGCTCAGCCAGATGACTCGCAGGATACGAGCACCTACCGAGGGCATCCCCTCTTGAAGACCAGACTCACACCGTGCGTGACACGACGGACAGTCTCCCCTGCCCTTCTATCCTTTCGACACCTCCCCCTCCTTCAGGTGGCTCGACCCAGCATCGCCACAGGCGGACCACGTCCGGTGGCTCTCACAATTGTTGATATGTCTATCACATCCATTACTTGGAATGGTCGGGGCCTGGCTAATAGGGCCACTCTCGGTCATCTCTATATTC